ATGTGAATTATTGTGTGTAATATGTTAATGTGAAAGTCGGCCATTTCTAAATGTGAGAACAGAGGAATTTTGGTCTTTAAGCTTTGGGCATGTGTTAGTCCTGTGCCTATTCTCGTTGCCTGTGGGATCACAGATGTGGAAAGTCATGATACAATTAGTTGAAGGTCTGGAGTTTAGAGATCAGTCTTGGCTTCTGAATTAGGAATCATTTATATCTCTGTCTGCCTACAATGTGCTTACCTACCAAAGATATTCTGTAGATGGGGTAATGTTTAATAGTAGCACCCCGCATAGTTATCTTTATTTAAAAGATAAATGGTAGAAGAGACCCAGGAAAGGTGGTTCTGGAAGAACAGGAAGAAAAAGGAGAATGAGTGAAGCGTGGCATTACAGAAGTCAGGGAAGAAGAGTAACAATGAAAAGGGGTGATTGACAGTGTCACGTGCTACAAGAAGACCAGGGAAGACGTTTAAAACAGTCCGTTGTATTTGGCTCTAGGTGATCTTTGGGGACCTGCATGAGAAACGATTTTTTTTTTTTAAAGATTTTTATTGGGGAATTGGGGGTTGGGAACAGTGCTGGGGAATTGGGGGAAGGGGAACAGACAAGTTGCTGTCGTTTTGTTCTTCAGTCTAGTTGTGGAGGATGTTGCTTCACTGGCCCAAGTTGGCACCATCATTGTGCTCTTCCTGGGCGAGACAGATCAGTTGCCGGCTTCTGGACGGCCGCTCACTGTGGCTGCTGGCCACTCACGCTGGCTGCTGGCTACACACGGTAGCCCATGGCAACCCACGGCCACAGGGGCTGCAGCCTACGCCGTCGTCGGCGACTCACGGCAGCCCAGGTCCAGGTTGAGCTGTTGTTCAGCATCTTAGCTGTAGAGGGCAGTGTCACTGGCCCTCATATGTGGGATCCGAACCGGGGCCTTCTGGCATCCCAAGCGAGTTCTTAACCATCGCGCCACTCGGCCGGCCCGAGAAACGATTTTAATTGTATAAGAGGGAAGGAGACCACATTTAGCTAATTGAGAAGTGAACTGGAAATAAGACTGTGAGGCATCAAGTGTGAGCTGTTCTTTCCAGGAGTTTGACTTACCAGGGAGAAGAGCACAGATGCTGGCTTCAAGATCATGTTGGATTGATAAAAGTTTTGTTTGCTTGTTTTATTTAAAAAAAAATGATGACTGTGAGTTTTTAAGATGCTGGATAAGTGGAGAAGAATGGTCCAGTTGGGAAAGACAAGTTCAAGACGGGGACGAGGGCATAATTGACATAGTGCAGCCCTTGACGGACGTGGAAGGAAATAGCAAAGATGGGCGAATTTGCCGAAGAAAGAGGACCCCTTTTCCTCCCAGCCTGGAGAGCAGGAGAGACTGGCGTTTGTTAAGTTTCAGGGTGATACAGCTAGGAAATTTTCGGGGTGCCCTGCCTCAGAACTTCAATCTTATTTCTCAAGGAAGTGCTGTGTTACGTGCTCGGAGTGAGTGAAAAGATGGAAGCTTCAGAGACAGGACATTGTGGAATGCCCGCTGTGTGGACGGCGAAGAGGCCTGCCGAAGAATTTCTGGGCGCTGAGAAGTTGGTTCTCAATGTGTCATCACATCAACCGATGCTCCTGGGTGGCTTTCCTTAGAGGAGTCAGTAATGTGACGTAGGAAATAGGAAATGGTTTAGCTTCCCAGGAGCTGGTGGTTTTGCTGTTCAAGTTTAGTGGATGAACAGTTTTAAAAAGGAGTTTGAGATGTGAGCAAGGGAGTGGCTAAAATGAAAATTCAGGAAGTTAGGTTAAAGAACCCGGATTTAAAGCCAGCAAAAGGAACATCAAGGGAATGATCATCTTGATGGTGAAGAGCAAATGTGCAGAAGTAACGGAGTGAGAGAACTGGGCAGATTGGTGGATAAAGCCACAGGCCCGAGGAAGAGGTAGGGAGAGTGTGGGGAGGACATGGCGGCGGGAGGGGGGTTGGGACCCATCTCTTACTTGGAAGATGGCAGTTCTGAGAGAAACACTGATAGGACTGTGGGAGGGGGTGAGTGAGGAAGCGTGGAATTAGGGTCATCTGAGAATCTGTTAACTCAGCAGAGTTGAAAACATGGGCTCTGGTATTAGACTATCTGGGTCTGAATTCAGTGCCCTCACTGACTGGGCATGTGATCTTGGGCAAATTCCAAGCCTTGGTTACCTATCACTACAACTGAGATTATAATAGTGCCTTACTTTAGTTTTGTGGTGGGATTGAAGGAGGTAATCCATGTATTATGTATTTCAACAACTCCTTGCCCAACTCAGATGTCCAATACACTTGAGTAGTAGTCGCAATTTTATCATTCTTATTATTGCTAGCTCCTTTTCATTTAAACCGCAGCTCATATGTCATCTTCTAAGAGAGACCCTCCCCAGCTACCCTGTAGAGTAGAGATCCTTTCAGGTAACTATCTATCCCATTTTAACACCGAGCATTGTCCATGTTGTAATCCAGCTGTGTGAATATCTCCCAAGTTAGATTATTAACTTCTTTGGTGTTGAAGCCAGATATTATTAACCTTTCTGTAAAGTATGTGCCTAATACAGAGGAAGTGTAGCCACTCTCCCAAGTGTTGATTGGGAAAAAAAAAAAAAAGGAGTACCTCTCTGTTGATGTAGAAATCATTGGACTACTGCTTGTTAATAAAATTGATTTCTATTATAGTGGTGACACTTTTAGATAAGGGCAAAGGGGTAAAGCACCATCACTAGGGCTTCCTGATCTCATTTTAGAATTTTGCATAAAAACAAGTGCACAGTTCTCAATTTACTGTTTTGTTTGGGTGGATAAGGGACTGACTCATCTCTTCCAGGCTGCATTGAATTCAGCACACTGAGCAAACGCAAACCTGTTGCTCAGAGAATGAAGCTTGCTTTTGAGTCATTATTTTTTTTTTGCCATAATGTCAAATCATAAGTTTAATCAAGGGAGAAATTAACTTTATTTGAGCCCTGGTTCAGGGATAATGGAACCTGGAACTGAACCTTTTGCTGTTAGAGCCAGAGGGAGTTGGTAAATGCTCCTAGTCTCTGTTTTTAGGTGCCTTAGTACAATGTATGAGGTGTCATAAAAAACGGTGAATGTTTAAATAGAAAAATTTATTACAGTAAAAGACACATTGCCATTAATCCCTCTCAGAATACGCCCCCCTCGCTTCAAATACACTTATCTCATCATTCTTGCCACTTTCTGAAGCAGTTCTGGAAGTTCTCTTTCGTGAGTGTCTTTAGTTGCGCTGTTGTCGCTGCCTCAATGTCCTGAATCATTTTGACTTTGGGGAAGAGCCAGAAGTCGCACGGTGCCAGATCCGGTGAATAAGGTGGATGAGGATGCACCCTAATGTTTTTCTTTGAAAGAAATTGCTGTACCAGAAGTGATGTATGACACAGAGCGTTGTCATGATGGAGGACGATTTATGACACACTTTAAAACACACCTTCTCTCAACCGTAGCTCACACCCGACTGACTGCACCAAACAAGTTGAAACTTGTCACACACTGTTACTAAGGACACATCGCTCCCCATATTGAAGATCCCTGCCTTTCAATTGTATGGCACTTGGCAGCAGCAGTCACTGTATTTTGTGATCACAACGGAAAGTGTCCATGTCACACATCATTTATGGTATGGCAGTTTCTGTCAAATAAAAACATTACAGTGTGCCCTCATCCACCTTATTCACCAGATCTGGCACCAAGCGACTTCTGGGTCTTCCCCAAAGTCAAAATGATTCAGGACATCAAGGCAACCACAACAGCACAACTAAAGACACTCATGAAAGAGAACTTCCAGAACAGCTTCACAAAGTGGCAAGAATGACAGGATAAGTGTGTTCGAAGCGAGAGGGAGTATTTTGAGGGGGATTAATGGCAATGTGTCTTTTACTGTAATAAATTTTTTTAAATTTAAGCATTCGCCGTATTTTTATCAAAACTTGTGGATGATACTTATTGTTTGTCCAGCTCGCAGCCTCTTGAACCCAATCTGATTTGGACAAATGGACCTTTTCATGTTAACTTGGTTACCCCAGGTATTTGGAAACTAAGGCTCAGGAGGGCTAGCGTAAGGGACACATTATAAGCACTTATTTCTGAATTTGTCACTCCCTCCCAAAGCTTTACAACAGTGGCTTAATGTTAATGATTACAATATTATTTATTTGTATAAAATGTTATATAAAAACAGTGTCCTTTCACTTTTAAAGTTAAAAAATAGACCTTTACCGATTCTACTCACATTAAAAATGTGCATGAATCATGATGATGTTGTGTAACTTCCAAATGCATTATTGACTAACTGTGTTTTAGGGTAGCTAGATTTTATTAGTTCAGGTTGTTTACTGGATCGATAAGTATTTCAAAAAAATTAATAAGTTTATTTAAGAATTTATTCTTCAGTGATATAAGCTTGAGAAAAGTTCCTTAACTCATAACAATATGTTGATTTTTGCTGGCAATGATCTCTCTATAAACTCTTTATTGAGAGCCTTTTGAATGAACTTTGAAGTATAGTACTATTTATACTGTTTCTGTTATCAATGCTCATTTTATTATAACCGAATTTTTAGGTGTTGCCGGAAAGTGGAACATTACATATGATTGCTAGGATAATTGTAAGATTTTGAAACATTGACATTCTTCAGCTGGACAAAACACTAAGTTCTTACTAAAGTAATGCGCATTGTTTTTCTCATCAAGATGTTCTATCTATTTTAGTGCTGGTCAATTGGAAAATACATATTTTTCCTTTTGGGTTATGAAATCTAAAAAAAGAAAATATTTCTATCAAAAATTATCCCCAACTAATATGATTATAAAATACACAGCAAATGACTCATATTTTCTAGATTGGTTGCTAATGAAATTTAATACAGATGATTCCCATTTCAGCAACATTAGAGATTCTCGTTTGATATGTTGTGCATCCAATTTTGACAAGAATATGTTCCTAATATTTCACATGTTTTATCCCTAGAATTTAACACGTGAATTGGAGAACAGGGAAAAGCAGCAACTACAGATGTTGGATCAACTTAAGGAGATCCAGAATCACTTTGAGACATGTGAGGCCAAGCGTAAGCGTGCCGACCTCCAGATCTCGGAGCTGACTCACCACGCCGAGGACGCAACCAAGCAGGCTGAGCAGTACCTCCTCGAGTTCCAGCAGTCCGAGGCCCTGAGACAGGAGGCCGAGAAGAGGAGGGAGGAGCTGAAACTGAAAGCTCAGGAGTCCATTAGGCAGTGGAAGCTTAAGCACAAGAAGTCAGAGCGAGCATTGGAGAAGCAATCGGAAACCCTTGATGAGCTGACGGACAGGAAGAACCAGGTATAGAAGCCCAGTTCCTAAGAACAGCTTCTGCTGTGACCAGGCATTCATTCACCCCTCCTTTGAATAAGCACTTGAGTTCCATACTATGTATATAATCTATCAAGATGTCCTTGATAGAAGAGTGTTATGTCTTGGTTATTTCAAGGTAAAAAGTAATTTAGTTTTAAAAATCTTTTTAAAGCCTTTTTAATAGTTCAACATTCCATGACTTTTCAGAGTTGGCCCTTAAAGTAGATCTAACCGCCTCCCCAGTTTAGTTTTTAGTTCCCAAAGCTGAAATTATTCTCTAATATTCAAGTCGAAGAAAATCACTAAATGTTCCTTAACATCACATGACTTTTCATGCAAGGCATGTATTTTAGAATTTCACTTATTTTAATTTTCAACTTAAGTATTTGTTAGAAAGAAGCATTTAAAATGCAGTAATCCAGTCCACTACGTCTTCTGGCGGCCACTATAATTATGGGTTTATTTAAATGAGCGACATTGATAATCTCACTGAGCAGTATTATCAGATCACAGGCCTCTTTAAGACACTGCTATTGTGCCCTTTTGATAGCAGCAACAAAAAGCATTTCACTGATCTATGTGTGCATTGCACATCATCTGTTCTCTTGTATAATCAGTGACTTTAAATGGATTTTATGCTCCTATGTTGATTCTCAGCTATATCTTTGGGTTGAATTAAACCCAGATGTTATAAGATAATAGGTAGGAAAGTCATGATTGATTTTATCCATGTTTAGTCTTGGTTTATCATTTCTGCGTTTGTCATTTGTCACTTGTCAAGAACTCTGAACATTCCAGAAGAATAATCATTTGGATTAGTTGGCTTGCTTTCAAAAGAAAACACAATGTAGGGCAATTATATTTATAAAGTCAATTATCAGTCCTTAAGAGTGACAGATGCTTATTTCAGATGGGTTGTCATGGGAAAGATGCCTTCCCTTTTACATATGACTTTCTCGGACGCACAGAATATGGAGAAAGCGGTCTCTTTGCACTCACTGTGGAATGCTTTTCGATGTAACCCATCTGACAAATCCTGGGTGACTGGTTGCCTTGAGGTAAAGCAGCTCTGAAGCTTTCAGTCTTGAATCTGAACTGATTTGATCTCAGGAAATTGCTCTACCGTGATTATTCTGTTGTCAGCCTGGTCTGGAAACTGGTTCAATGACCCTGCCCATAATGGGGATAGTTAAAAGAGTGGTTGGGGGAATTGATTGATTGAGAACCATCTGGGGATTCTACTTAATTAGAGGAAATTTAGAAGGGTCCATGTCATTAGGCAGAATCCTAATCCATGGTGCTGAGAGTTTCTAGATTGAGCTTTTCAGAATATTATAAATTGTTAAACAATCATTTCCCAGAATACTCCTGTTATAATTATTTTTATCATTTAGCATTGCTAATGATAGCAAAGAAGTAGTTTTAAAGTGATTGCCAGAGTTAGGGTAGTATCACAATTATCACAGCAGGCATTGTAATTTCCACTTTAAAAGCCTTAAAAATTAATGCAGCATGTCGCAGTTAGAGCAATGGTTAATCAAGGAAGAAAGGGTAACAGATATTTCACTGCAAATTCAAGTGTCCAGTAAATCTGTGATGTGGAAATAACACTAAATAATTTTGGAAAAAAGTTTTTCTTTTTTTACATTTTACTGAATAATACGTCTAATGAGTATTTAATTAAAAAAAAAACTTAAAGCCACCTTAAGACCTAAGTAATACAGCCTACTCCTTTTTTTGTTGTTTTTATAGAACTAATTATTTTCAAAAGCAACTCCAGGGTATTCTTGGAAGTATATATTAAAATAAAAACGATACTGGCTTACAAATAAAATACATTATGGTTTAAAGAATAAAGTAATTGTTTAATAAGTAACCTTGTGGAGCCATTTTATATGATCAAAAGATATAATCTTTGCATTTTTAAAATAAATCTGTGCCTACTTCCATTTTTCTTTTTCCAGACTAATTTATTTTCTGCTTTAGGATTTCCCAGTTAAAATTGCATTGGAAGGCTAAAGGCTTTTATTCTCTTAAAAATTGCCCTGATTAATTAATTAATTAATTTTTTTTGGCTTTTTACATTTTTGGAACCCTTGGTAAGATTATCTAGATACATATCATATTACAAAAATACTTCATTACTAAAGGATATGGAATATCAAACAAATGACATATCATTGCAGAAAAACCCAGAAAGATTAGATTGTATACTTTCCTTAGAAGTCAGTGGCGTGGATGTTTATATCCGGGACCCATGATCTCTAGGGATATGTAGATGAACACATATTGGAAGACCTAAAATTCTGTAGATACACGTGATGTTTTTGTCTTTATTTTTAAAAATTAATATATTTTGAAATTGTATTGGGTTGTCGGAAAAGTCATGTCGTATTGTTTCTGTGTTTTTCGTTGCAAAAATGCGTCATGACTTTTCCGAAAACCCAATAGTTGACATACAGTTTTATATTAGTTTCAGGTGTACAACATACACAATAGAATATTAGTCTCCCATAAAGAAGAATTAAAAATTAAAACTTTGTTTTTCTTTTAAAGTGCTGTTTGAAGTCATTGGTTTTTGTATATGCTTTGAAAATGAAAGGAAAAAAAAACCTTGGATTTCGTTTATAGTATATGCTTTCTGAATGTTTCCAAATTCATGTTCCTCTTTAACATGGATAATGGGAATGCCTCTTATGTTCTATGTGTGTGCGCGCGCGCATTTTTGTGTTTTCTGAATTGGCAGAGCACTTGGCTTGCCTATGTATTGAGCTTTTTGCTTGATAGTCTTTTACTTCAGGAATCTTAAGTTGTAATCTTTTCCTTCTGTGTATTGCCTTCATGCTGAGGAAAAAAAGGGCTATATGTAATATATACTGTCTTTTAAAATCTGAATTTAAATGGTTAAAAATAAGAAGTTTTAAAGTGCATACTTTTTTAAATATGTATGCAGTCCTATCAAATGTAATTTAAGAAAAGCTAGATCAGTTATACATTAGTATAATCCAGCAATCTGTCTGCGTGTTCCCTCACATGCAGAAAAATAACTTTTTTTTTCCTTTTAAAATTTCCTTGTCTACCTTTTAGTTAATTCAGAAAAACTATGTATGCTTTGTGGTCAGGTCTTTCAGGATTGCTTCCTGTTCCTGTATCTGTCATGGTTTTATTTTATTATTATTATTATTATTATTATTATTATTAATTATCACTATTGTCATGATTTTAGACAGCCCCGTTCTTCTGGCTCCACACAGCCATTGTGGTCCTTCTTTCATAATCTTCCCTCAACTCTTCCTCTTTGGAAGCTGGGTTTGCTAGGCGAGAACATTCTCTTCCCATCGTTCCTGACTGCTACTTATTTTTCCATTATGCCTCCACATTTCTCAAGGATTTTCGCACCTGGATTTCCCCTCAACCTGTTTCGTTGCATGTAATTCTTGCCATCATCTTTGGTGACCCTAAAGTTCAAGTCAGCAATCTGTTAAACCCTGTACCCTTATACTTCACCCATTTCCTATTTTACAGTGACATTCAAACCACCTAGCAGCTAAGTTCTGGATCTAAAATTTGTTATCATCTCTATTTTCTCTATGTTCAAGTCTTTAGCTCCAAAATTTCAGTCTCTGATATTACAGACTTCTTTTATTTCCTTTTCCTTTTTTGACTATTTCCATCTGATTTTGATCTTCCCACATTTCCTCTGGTTGTCCAGCCACACCTTGGAGTGAGTATTTTCCTGACAGACTGGACTTCATGAAAAGCTACTCTGATGACATGCTCACTGGCATCTTCAGTTTCTTCCTTCTACCTGACACATTTTACCTATCTTCAATCTGGAATCAACCCAACTCTCCACTTTTCCATTCCTGCTCCTGGATAGTACCAGCAAAACTTACAAAGAAATGTCAGTTGGCTCCTGTAGTGGTGTTGGTTACCTCCATCACCCCATTCCATTCCATTCCAAAATTATTGTAGACCAATTACTAATCAATGGAGAGTGAGCTATATGAAGTCTGTGTGTGTGTGTGTGTGTGTGTGTGTGTGTGTGTGTGTGTGTGTGTGGTTTCTGGTAAACATGTACTCACTCTTGCAAAAGATACACAAGAAGAGAGCTTTCCTCCTTCTCGGGATACTGTTGTATTTGGCTGTGCTGCCTGGAATGGCTGGCATTGTCTTGCTATGATCCTGAGAACGAAGCCTCATACAGAGGAGGGTATATCTGAGACAAATGCAGAGAGGTGTGCCCAGAGCTTAGACGTACTGTGTCTGGAGGACTTCTGCCTGGAATGATAATCAATTACCTGGAAGTTTAAGCCAATTTGAATTGGAGTTTTCTCTTACTCTCAGCAGAAGAAATTCAGGCTGATGTGAAACATCATTTCTAGGAGTGAGGAGGTTTTAGTAAAAGATCCTAAATGTAGGATTGACTAAGAGGTGAAGTGGTTGGGGACATGGAGGATATAATTCTAAAGGGAGAGTTGGCAAACCTTACTACACTATTGGAAATACTTGGTTAAACCATCAAATTGCATACCTTGGGACATAGATGCTGTGCCTCAGAGTGTGATATTAAGTGACCAGTAGGAAAACTTGAGGATGTTGGAGCATGTTGTGTAGTTATGGCAGCCTTCAGAAAGGAGGTTCTACAAGGGAAAGACAAGTAATGGGTTGAAATCTGCCTGTCTAAAAGCGGAGAGTAAGATTTTTTGGTGTGGGGAGACTGAAAATCTGCAATCTGTAATCCAAATTTACTGAGCCTGATAATTTGGAGTCTTTTAGGGTTGGAAATCCAAATTATTTATCCACGCTGAACTTAGTCCAAGCAAGCGAGGGAAGTTGGAAATTAGCAGAAATAAATATGAGGTAAAAAAGCAAGCCTGATTTCTCAGGCCCTTTGCAAGTACTTCTACTTAAGCGTTCCTGGCTGGACAGAGGGAAGTCCATTGTTTTGAGTTCCCTCAAGATAAAAGCTATTCAACCGAGGGCTCCTGGGAATGTCTAGGGTATTGAGGTGGTGGTTAAGACACTGACATTTTCAGACTCAGAGACAATGTCTAGACAAAATCTTGGGCTATGGCTACTAGCCAAGCAATTAACCAAAAGCAAATGGACAGAACGTAGTTTTTTGTATCTACATTGTCAAAGAAATTCTAAACTTGACCAACATAGCCTGTGACTGTCACCTTTGTCATGAATTGATGTGATGCTTGAAATACTGAAATTGGAGGCAAAACATGGAGAATTGTAGAGTAGCTGAGCCGGAGCTTTTGAAGGACTCTTCTTGAATGACCTAATCTTTGGTCTTTCTGTTATGTGAGAAAACTAAATATCCTTGCTGTTTAAACCAGCTTTAGGAAGACATTATAGTATTTTAAATCAAAGATATTTTACCTGCTAGAGGTTCATCCTGAAAATACAATTTTTATCTTCAGAACTGCATGGAAGTCTCTTAACTCATGGTCAGGGAGCTATGTTATCTGTTTTAAAAATTAATGACTACATTTAAGCCTCCTCCCCTTATTCTCAGGCCCCTTGCATGTTATCCTTACAGCCATGAATTGATTCTATCAGTTTTTGTCTTTTCCAGTGTGGTAAGTAGAGTGACCTCCCAAAGATGTCTCACCCTAATTCCTGGAACCTGTGACTATGATGAGATATCATTCCCATGATTATGTTAGTTGTGTCATAGCTGACCTTAAGATAAGGAGATTATCTGGACAGGCCTAACCTAATCTCAGGAGTCCTTAAAAGCAGATAGATATTTCTGGCTGTTGGGAAAAAGGGAAGTTAGAGGGATTCAAAGCATGGGAAAGATTCATTGTGGTGTTTGTGGCTTCAGAGACAGTCCATGAGCCCAGGAGTGAGGGCGGCCTTTAGAAGCTTTGAACATCTGGCCCAAAGCTAGCAGGGAAACAGGGACCCAAGTCCTAAGTTCACAGAACTAAATTTTGCCAACAGCATGGATGAGCTTGGAAGTGGATTCTTTCCCAAAGCCTCAGATAAGAGCCCAGATCAGCTGACACTTTGATTTTAGCCTTAGGAGACCCTAAGCAGAATACCTTGCCTGGAATTATGACCTGTGGAAACAGTGAGATAATAAATGGGTGTTGTTTTTAGCCATTAAGTTTGTTGGAATTTGTTACACTGCAATAGAAAAATAATACACCGCTTATCTATATTTCTAGCCATTTTTCCTGCACAGTCTTTCCAAAGTGAACTCATTTATCTGTGTTCTAGAGTTTTGTCAATCTAGCGACATTGATTTATCAGTTATCCCCTCTCCTCACAGTTTTGATCACTCTCATGTGTTAATACCTCTCTGAGAGCCTGGTTTCTCCTTGAACTTAAATCCCACCCCCTCTTTTTGTTTCCCCTTTCCCGCTTGTCTTCACCACCCTATGATATAGCTATTATTATTATCTTTATAAAGATAAATAATTTCCTTAAGGCAATAGAACTGCTTATGAGTGGACTGAGAATCAAATTCGGTTCTCTCTGGTCATAGCTCAACTGCTTAATCACCCTCCTTTTATTATTTCTCATGTTAGCGTCATGCTGTTTCTCCCTGTTTGCACTGAGAGGCATTTGAAGAAACTTTTTTTTGAGTGATTGACTCATTACATTTTATGATGAATTGTTTCACACTGAAATATTAAAATGTAAAGTGTAAAAATGCCTCACAAGTATTTGTGTTTTAACTCATTTCAAATTCTGAAATAAGAATTTTAATTTTTTTTTCTGGGTTCGAGTCATGTTGGGCATCAGTAACCAGGTACAGAGATTGTCCTTGGTGCCAGTATTGTGGGGGGTGGCATTTTCCACTTTTTTAGCAGCTGGCTTTTTCATTTGAACTGATGGGTGGTGCGGATTAGAGGGTTAGTTCTTGGTTCCCATCCCTGAGTGGAAACCCTAACCCCCTAAAGAGGCTGGCAGAGGGTGATGCCCGCCTGGTCCCTTGACTTCTCTCGAGCCCTTTCCAAACCTCTTCTAATCTTAAACTAACCTCAGCTCCACCATTGTGGGGCTTTAAGACTCCCAGTTACATACTGGTGTGTTTCTTGTCACTACTGACATTATTTTATTAATAATGACTGATTATATCATAACCTTTCTTAGATTGTATCCACATGCTTCCCTATATTATCTTCCATATCTGTGTGAGGTTTCTGCTCTTTAAAAATATGGCATTGAAATGCCAATCATTGTTATTTTAAGTAAATTATATTATTTCAACCTCTGGTAAATTATAATAGGAGTTTTTTTCATTTCCCATTCTTTTGCTCAATTTTATCTTACCTTTAATTATGTAATGATCAAGGATTGATATATTTTGGTGATGAAAATCTGAAACATATATTTCAATGTGGCACTTGCAGGGTAATTGTATTTTCCTTCCTCTTTCTAGGCTAAAAATACTTTTCTTTAAAAAATGGAAAAAATGTAAAGTATTATTTGATGAATTGTTTTTCTCCTTGTGGATGAAACTTTATTTTGTTTTCGGGCAGTGTCTGTGGTGAATTTGTTCGTAATTTTGTTTGTTTGTTTTATATTGTTCACTTGATAGATTCTCAAAGAAAAGGATGAATTGAAGAGCCAGCTCTGTGCAGCATTGCAACAAATTGAGAGTCTCCGGAAGGAACTGCACGATGTCATAACGAAGCGTGCGCTTCAAGAGGAGGAACTTCACCGTAAGGAACAGAAACTCAGTGATGTTCAGGCTCATCAAGCTGACCTTGAGCTAGAAGTCAAGGACTCCCGGGACACCATCCATAGGCTAGAAAGTGAACTGAAAAAGCAGAATGAGATTCAAAGCCAGATGAAACTTGAGAAAGCTCACCTGGAGGATGAAATGGCTGAGCTGAGGAAGAGCCAGGCCAACGACAAAGCTCAGCTTCTCGAGATGCAGGAGGCCATCAAAGACTTGAGTGCCATCCGGGCAGACCTTGCTAACAAATTAGCAGAGGAACAGAGAGCCAGGAAAGAGGTGCTCAAGGACCTTTCTGCCCTCCAGACACGGGCCGACTCAAGAGATGAAGAGACGGCTACGATCATTACACAGTTAAAGCTGGAGCGAGATGTTCACCAGAGGGAGCTGGAAGATCTCACCTCGTCACTACAGAGTGTGAAAACCAAACACGAACAGAACATCCAGGAGCTGATGAAGCACTTCAAGAAGGAAAAGAGCGAGGCAGAGAATCATATTAGGACACTGAAGGTACCTGCGCTGAATTATCCTGGTGACACCGGAGGAATTCTTCTGGTGGCTCATGAAGTTAATAAAGCGTAAACTTTTAGAGATCATTCTGTATTCCCAAGCACTGAAGGGAAGATAAAACTAACAATAAAGAGGCTTTTCCATGCTTGTTCAGCCAGGTTGAAATGAGTTATAGCAGCCACCTGGGAGCACCTATTTCAGAGCACTGAAGCCTTTGAAAAAGAACCTTTAGCTGTTTGGGGAGCTCAGGGAAGGCAGAGGTGGCAGTAAGTTGTGGACCTGAAATGTGCCCTCATTCCACATTTATGACGTCCTAAAATATAAGTGGCAAAGACTTGTCAAGGCCATGGAAGCTATAACCACAGCCCTTTTAAGTAGGGTAACTAAAGCGGATCTGCTTATGGGCTGTGTAAACCCAAGGCCTTTGAGATTTACCCTTTCTTTCCCAAATCAAAGTTGCCTGGGTAAATGCATAATTGAGATCTCTCATTTGGGGAAGTGTTTCTAAGGCCTAACGGTATTAACATTATCACCACGCAGGGGACTCATTTCATAACATGATTGTCAGGGGCATGATGCATCTATCCCTTCTTTCTGCTTCATTTGTTTTTTCTTCTCCAAAGCAGTTATCATCATATAGATTCCATATTATTTATTTTTTAATCCCCCTTTATTAGAATGAACATTCCTTGAGGACTGGGATTTGAATCTGTTTTGTTTATAGCTATAGCCCCAGTGCCTAGAACAGTTCCTGGAACATTGGTAATATCTGTTGAATAGGTGAATAAATGGCTAAATCTTCAAAAGTTAATGATAATTTTTCAAAATTCCTTAAAAGGCAACTACCAAAAAAAAAATGCTTATGATGGAAGATGAAGTTACATTGAAATAGCTAACATTCATAGAATGCTTTCAGCTATTTGATGAATTCTTTCTCAGTCCCATATAGCCTACGGGCAGTAGTGTATTTGAGGTCATTAACTGGGGCGGGAGAAGCAGAATGGAGGCTGGAAGAATAGGTAAGAGGCCTTAACTAAATTTCATTGAACCAGATACCATCAGTTGTAAGATGCATTATTGTTCTGTGCTACTAAAAAAACCAAATACTGCATATGAAAACATGACCTGCTATTAAAAGTAAGACAATACTGGGCCGGCCGAGTGGCGCGATGGTTAAGAACTGGCTTGGGACGCCAGAGGGCCCTGGTTCGGATCCCACATGAGGGCGAGTGACACTGCCCTCTACAGCTAAGATGCTAAATAACAGCTCAACCTGGAGCTGGGCTGACATGAGTCGCCGGCAACGGTGTAGGCTGCAGCCCCTGTGGCAGTGGGTTGCCATGGGCTACCGTATGTAGCCAGCAGCGCCAGCGTGAGCGGCCAGCAGCTGCAGTGAGCTGCCGAACAGAAGCTGGCGACTGATCTGCCACGCCCGGGAAGAGCGCAATGATAGTGCCAACTTGGGCCAGTGAAGCAACGTCCTCCACAACTAGACTGAAGAACAAAAAAGACAGCAACTTGTCTGTTCCCCTTCCCCCAATTCCCCAGCATTGTTCCCATCCCCCCAATTCCCCAATAAAAATCTAAAAAAAAAAAAAAAAGTAAGACAATATCCCAAAATAGAAATGGTAAAATGTGAAAAAAAAGTCTTAATATTGATTAAATATGGCATAACAATCCTTCAAAATTGATGAGGACATAAACAAAAGTAGAATCAGAGATACGGAGAAGAGCTATATTAAGAAAAATAAAATATAGATCATATGTTTATTGATTAGCTTGACAATAGTAATAATAGAAAACATTTTTTAGCACCTACTCTGTGCTGGTCATTACTATAAGACCTTTACGTATGTTAATAATAATTTAATACTAACATTATCCCTGCAGATTGTATGGTACTATTTTCTCTCTGATGAGCAACTTGAGACATGGACAGTTAAGTAACTTGCCCAAGGTCTTATGGCTGGAGAGTAGTAGAGATGAGATTTGAACTCAGGTAGACAAGTAAGTGCCTGTGTTCTTAACCGCACTGCTAGACTGCAGAAGGTTTCTAATCAAGGATGACTGGTGTAGACTTGGGTGACTAGGTGGGTGATGAGGCTGTTTGCCAATATAAATAACACACAACAGCAGATTTGCAGAGAACAGTGCCAAATCCATTTTTCTAGCATGTTGAATTATGTGGAAGGAACCTTAAACCTAACCATGACAGTCTAGATAGAACAGTTTTAGTACATAAGTTAGATGACTGGTCAGGCAGCTGTTGCCAGTGAGGAAGGGAGAGTTGATGAGAAATAGTGGGAATCTCAGGAAGGCAGGGTTTTTGCTTGAGCACAAGTATGTCATGATTTGTTAGGCCATGGTTTGACAAATGGTTCTTTCAAGGAGCTTGCAGTGTTTTTGTGAATGCTGTTGAAACTACACCCTCCTTTCCTTCTCACTATTGCTGACCTACTTCCGGTTCTCGTCACCATTATTTAGGTTTTGTGATAAACGCAAATGTCAGCAGGAGTTAGTTATAATTTAATCAATTAGCACAGATTTGAGATCATCTCTATATCAACATCATTCTGACATGGTGATGTGCTGTCTTGAGTGAGAGATGAAGTCATGAGATACAGCCTGCTTGACAGAAATTGCATTTGCTCCTGGATGCATTGGCATATGAACAATAATCTATCACGTGGCATGGCAGAAAGCAGGATGCGGGCTGCTAATTGGGACTCCCAGGACATGTCTCTAAGTAGCCTCCTCTTTCTACTCCCAACCCCTCCCTTTCAACCTTCAGATACCACCTGGTTTCCTTTCCCAAAACATTGACCTGTGTGTGTCATTTTCTGCTCAAAAACCTTCACTGATTATTTAGTGTCTCTGGAACAAAGTCTCAACTCTAGTCCAGCCCTCCTTGGCATGGTTCCCCTTGATTTGTCCACATACAGGTCCAATTAATTTTTCACCTCTTGTATGGATTCTCTGAAGTTGGGACATACCTCAGCTGAGGTTGGGATAAATCTCCATCTTCTGTGTTTCCATAGCTCTTTGTTGGTACCTCTAGTACAGAACATGTAGGCTGCCTTACATTAGGGTTTGTTGTGTAAGTCTCTGGAGGGGCAGACATCAGGCCTTAGCCATTTTCGAGTCCTCTTATGATGTCTAAAAGTGTTTGAGACATACAGAAGATACTCAGTGGATGTTGGGTTGAGATGTTTAGAAAGCTGGAGTCAGAGGATTTGCTCCCGAATTGCTCTGTGATCTTTCTGGTTTGGATTTCTCCCTGTAATAGGGGAAAATTGATTTCTTCATCTTCAGGAATTACTTCGTATTCATATATAGTGAGATGATAAGCTTTAAGAAATTCTTGTATGTAAAGAATGTATAATTTAGAAGTATTCTACTGTAGATCTTCTGAAACAATTAGACTTTTTTTTTTTAAGTTTGGAAGACTAAAATTTAGAAGGGGTGTTGCAGCCACTCTTTTTTTTTTTTAATTAAAGTTTATTGGAGTGACAATAGTTAGTAAAGTTACATAGGTTTCAAGTGTACAATTCTGTAATACATCATCTATATATCACGTTGTGTGCTCACCATCCAGAGTCAGTTCACCTTCCATCACCATATATTTGACCCCCTTTATCCTCACCTACTACCCCCTTCCCCCCTTCCCCTCTGGTAACCACTAAACTGTTGTCTGTGTCTATCAGTGTTTGTTTCTTTGTCTTGTTTTTTTGTTGCTTTCAGTTTTACTTTTTTTTTTTTTTAAGTTTTTTTTTTTTTTTTAAAGATTTTTATTGGGGAATTGGGGGAAGGGGAACAGACAAGTTGCTGTCGTTTTGTTCTTCAATCTAGTTGTGGAGGACGTTGCTTCACTGGCCCAAGTTGGCACCATCATTGCGCTCTTCTCTGGCGAGGCAGATCAGTCGCCAGCTTCTGGACGACCGCTCACTGCGGCTGCTGGCCGCTCACGCTGGCTGCTGGCTACACACAGTAGCCCATGACAACCCACTGCCACAGGGGCTGCAGCCTATGCCGTCGCCGGCGACTCATGGCAGCCAGCTCCAGGTTGAGCTGTTGTTCAGCATCTTAGCTGCAGAGGGCAGTGTCACTGGCCCTCATATGTGCGATCCGAACCGGGGCCCTCTGGCATCCCAAGCAAGTTCTTAACCATCGCGCCACTCGGCCGGCCCCTTTTTAAAGATTTTTTATTGGGGAATTGGAGGGAACAGCGTTGGGGAATTGGGGAAGGGGAACAGACAAGTTGTCCTTTTTGTTCTTCAGTCTAGTTTTGGAGGGCGTCGCTTCACTGGCCCATGTTGGTATTAGCATTGCGCTTTTCCCAGCTGAGGCAAATCGGTCGCCGGCCTCTGGATGGGTGCTCACAGTGGCTCATGGCAGCTCACGCTGGCTGCTGGCCTCTCATGGTAGCTTATGGCAGCCCACTGCAGCCTACGCCATCGCCGGCGACTCATGGCACCCCAGCTCCAGGTCGAGCTATTGTTCACCATCTTAGCTGTAGAGGGCGCAGCGTCACTGGCCCATGTGGGATCCGAACCAGCGGCCCTGCTGCTCAGATCTCGTGCTCCCAAGCCAACTCTTAACCAACAAGCCACTCGGCCAGCCCTCCATTTTACTCTTTAATGTGGTACAAAAGCAACACAAGAGCTTAAAAGCTGAACAGAGATTGTGAGAGCCTAGTCCTTTCCTTTTAAGCTGAATAAGTTACCCATAAGGAACAGCCTTCATCTCATGCTGTTCCATTGATGTAAGCCTCTACTTTTTATTTATTTATATTAATTAAAAGGAGTTGATGACAATGGACATCACAGAAGATTTAATATACTGAATTATATACAAGAGAGCTTTCGACAAGTAGCTCTTTAAATGTTATATTCCATTGTCTCTCAGCTTTACCTTAATTTATTACTTTTTCTGAGTCTAATTAAAGTGCTGATTGTTACCCATAATTTTTTCACTGCACAAAATTATGGTTTTTCTCCATTTAGAACTACCCTTCTCATGCCTTTTGTTAAATTTAAATGCAAAATATTTTAAATGAAATACTCTAGCTGCTATTAACATTTGAAGGATATTGGGTTATCACCCCATTATGATTTCACCAGAAATCATTTTGTAGAGCCTTTTATTGGCATCAAAGACCAAGGATTTGAGTTCCATACTTTTGCCACTAGCTGGCCATATGACCTTGGTCAAGTTACTTGACCTTTTTGCACCTAATCAATAAAATGGGAATAGTAGTGTATTTATCACAGAGTTCTTGTGAGGCGACATCACTTTGTAAACCCTATAATGAAATGTAAATGTAATGATAAAACCACATCAAGAAGAAAGTCCCTCGTCAAACTTAGGCGCGGGTGTGCTGGTGAGTGTTTTAAAACGGGCTCTCTGGGAGTTGGTGGTGGCAGGGGCGGAGGAGAGGACCGTGATTTGTAGCATTTTCCAAGTTCAGTGGTCTAGATACCTTCATTTGTCTGGTTTCCAGCTATCAAACAAGACATCACTGGGGAGAGACGGAGTTGGGAAGAGAGGAGCACGGTTGGCCCTTGAGAGTCTCTGCGAGCTGGCTCAGCACAGCACTAGCTTTAGGGGGGACCTGTGATACCTGCGCTTCCTGTAAGCCTTACAGAAAAGCCAAGGCATTCTGCTGTGGCTTAAAATCTTAAGTAAACAGTTTTCCCGATGAGAGACTTTATTTTGTAAATTTACTTTTGGGCTTTGAGTATGGGATTCCTCATAAAAAAGTCAGTTCCTTTGTTTACTCCACGTGGCATCAAGTCTTAGATGAATTTTGTGGGGTGAATAAAATATAGGTTTTGTCTAAAACTCACAAAACTTTCTTTCATGAAATTGTTTCCAGTGATTGCGTTCCTACATACCTATTAAACACATATAATAAACTTATAAAAAGAAAAGAAATGGATATATTTTAGGCATTAAAACATGTATTTTAAATAGAATATATGTGGTTGCTGATAGGCTGTTAGTAACTGGTAGGCTTGACTGGTTAACACTACAGGTTGTACCCACCTGGTTTTTTAAAAACCTTATGGTATACGTACCTTTTGAAAATTAGTGCGGCAGAGTAGCTGAAAGCATGGGCATTGGGGAGAATTTTGGGGTTCAAATCCTGGCTCTCCATTTACTCACTGTGTACCCTTGGGTAGGTTATTTTTGTCTCTGTGCTTCAGTTGTGAAGATGAGATGAGACTATACAAAAAGATCTTAGAGGAGTTCCTGACATACAGTGTTTGTATAGTTATTTTATTTTGAAAGTCTTTAAGTTTACTTAACCAGGCAAATCTTTATTAAATACCATACAAAGAATAGATTGTCCCTAACTTTTTTTTTAAGATTTTTTTTTTAATTGGGGGATTGGGGTGAGGGGAACAGCATTGGGGAATCGGGGAAGGGGAGCAGACAGGTAGACAAATTGCTGTTTTTGTTCTTCAGTCTAGTTGTGGAGGACGTCGCTTCATTGGCCCATGTTGGTATTATCATTGTGCTCTTCGCGGGTGAGGCAATTGGTCGCCTGTCATTGGTTGGCCGCTCCCGGCAGCTCACACCGGCTGCCGGCTGCTCACCTAGCTCATGGCATCCCACTGCAGCCCCACTGCAGCCCATGCCATCGCCGGCGACTCACAGCAGCCCAGCTCCAGGTCGAGCTGTTGTTGTTCATCATCTTAGCTGTAGAGGGCGCAGCGTCACTGGCCCTCAATGTGGGATCCGAACCGCAGCTCTGCTGCTCAGAGCTGGCGCTCCCAAGTGAGCTCTTAACCAGCTGAGCCACTCGGCCGGCCCGGCCCTGTCCCTCACTTTTTAAAAGCTGATCCTGATTATATTCCAACTAAAGATTAAAAACCATTGCCCTGTTGGTATTCAAATAATCACTGGTAAACTCTTTTTCATATCAAGTTATTTGTAGTTTAGTGGCGGATACAATTAATAATCTTTTTAGTCCCATCAGATTGGTATCAATAAGTACAAAAAGTAAGCAATTCTTTTGCAAAAACCAGGAGGTAGGTTGAAAAGGAATGTTGTTGCGCTCGTCTTATAGATTAGGAAACTGATCAATCAGTAACATCTCCTAGTACTTTGCTTGTGGGACGCCTCTAATAATCCTTCCCCTCACAGTTAGCGCCCCTTCTTTGGCTTGTCACAGCACCTCACCTCCACCTTTATTAAGCATTTCTCATTAATTGTTGTAGAAATTGATTTTTGCATCTGTCCCTTTTACTGTTCATATCTGTTATCTTCAGCACCTAGCACAGTACCCCTCACTTAGTAATGCTCAGTGAGTGCTAAGGAGCTATTGCATAAATGCAGAGCATTTCTTTCCTATGTTTATGCACAGATTCTTAGCAAAATCTTGAAGTAATTTACCTACCGATATAATGTGTGATTTGTTGGGTGCACAATTTGGCTGTGGCCGGTGGACTTTCTCTTTTTTCCTTCTGTTTTTTTCAGGCAGAAAGCTTAGAAGATAAAAATATGGCTAAAGCCCATCGTTGTCAGCTAGAGAAGCTGAAATCACAGTGCGACAGGCTGACAGAGGAGTTAACCCAGAACGAGAGTGAGAACAAGAAACTGAAGCTAAAATATCAGAGTCTGAAGGACCAACTAGAAGAAAAGGTAACAATTTGAATGAATCTGCATTTAAAAGACATATTTGAATGTCTTCTAGAACATGTTTGATGTGTTAATAAATGCTAATTGTGGTCTTCCATAGGAAAGTTGTATCCGTGCCAGAAAAAAATGATAGAAGTTTATTAGAATGTTGTGGTTTTTATTCTTCCAACTAACGAGTAACCATGTAACACATTTGATTTCACATTTCTTCTGGATCTGAAAATGGGAGTTTAGAGGCAAGGCAGCAAAGAAAGGAATGATGGTTTGTTGAGAACCTACTCGACGTCAGGTATTTATGCCAGGCTGATTTACATATGTGTGCTTGTTTAATTGTAACAACTCTTTGGTTAGATTCTGTTGATCCTCTTTATGAGGGAATGGAGGCTTAAAATAAAATAGATAATAGTTAAGTGCTCACCATGTGCTAGGCATTTTTACTGCTCATAGTAATTTTATGAAATTGATACTCTTATGCTCATTTTTGCAGTTGCAGAGAAGCTTGAGAGGGCAGGTAACCTTGGAACAGCCCCAGAAGGCTTACTGCTTTCCTATTATTAGATGTGTAAATTTATTTTGAGTGTCTGCTATATATCAGACATTGGGTATTATACCAGAGACTTTTAGAGAGTCACTACTTTTTTTGGCAAAAAGTCAACTAAGAATAGAAGACAGAATATTTAAATTTTCTTTCTGTTTGTTCCACCACTTCCTAAAAGGATTTGCGGCCGAGTATAATAGAAGTCAAATATTTTAAAAAAACCATTAAAATATGGATAATAGGATAAGGCAAATAGACTAGGCCAAATAGATCCTATACTTAATAAGGGTTACTAAAAATCAGTGACAAAGGAACTGTCACTGGGCGGGGTGTCATAACACTAAAATTCACTATATTATGTGAACACACACACATATTCTAGTAATTGCTAAAATCAAGGAAATAAAATATAAATTTGTTTGAAGTTTGTAATTAAATGTGCTTAAGTTGCTAAAGTTCGGCCTACAGTCTTGACAGTTACTGTAATTTAGTTCCTGTGTCTTGCTTTGTTTTTGTTTTGTTTTGTTTTTTAAAGATTTTTTTTGGGGAATTGGGGGATGGGAACAGCGCTAGGGAATTGGGGGAAGGGGAACAGACAAGTTGCTGTCCTTTTGTTCTTCAGTCTAGTTGTGGAGGACGTTGCTTCACTGGCCCAAGTTGGCACCATCATTGCGCTCTTCCCAGGCGAGGCAGATCAGTCTCCGGCTTCTGGATGGCCTCTCACAGCAGCTGCTGGCTGCTCACTCTGGCTGCTGGCTACACACGGTAGCCCATGGCAACCCACTGCAGCAGGGGCTGCAGCCTACGCCGTCGCCGGTGACTCATGGCAGCCCAGCTCCAGGTTGAGCTGTTGTTCAGCATCTTAGCTGTAGAGGGCAGTGTCACTGGCCCTCATATGTGGGATCTGAACCAGGGCCCTCTGGCGTCCCAAGCCAGCTCTTAACCAACGTGCTGCTTGGCTGGCCCTGTCTTGCTGTTTTGATGATGTCTAATGTTCATATGTATTTAATGTGTCTAATGCCAGGGTATAGTTGCTGTGGAGATAATGCTAACTTTTCTGTAACTAAATTTTAGCCTGAAGATGTGTTAACATGTTTTATATTTACTTACTTGCATTTAAGAACAGTGGTGAAAAATTCAGTGTGTTGAAAATGTAAAGTTTACCTTGTTCTGCTTAAAGTAAATGTTTCTTCGCTGATTCTATGTGTGATGTTCCAGATATGTATGCGTTATCACACGTATAAATGGAACATTCCTTTTAGAACAGATTTTCAAGAATTAATGATTGTATTGCATTGCTGTGCATTGAGTATCTAGGATATGGCAGACGTTTTTCTGGATGCTGAGAATGGGATGTAGACGAGACGTAGGTCTGCAATTGGATGCTCACAGTGAGGTCATTAAAAACAAACTTCCTTTTAGTTGGTCAAATTATATAATTGAGTCCTGACATTGGCTGCTGATGTAGAGAAAAGATGTGTCTGAAGTTGGCAATGATGAACACTCTTAAAGATACACAGATGCACACACACATAAATACATACAGCATACTCGTATATGCTTCCTCCTTTTTATATTTTGGTTTATGTGATTGTTACGCACTTTTGATTTACTTAGCCGTTTGTGTTGATCCATTCCTTTGTATAGTTAGCTAGAAATCAGAATTTCATTGGGTTGAGCCATTTGCACATAGGTCCTTTCTCTTTGGGGGTAGTAGAGTGTTTGTGGCTGTGGGCAGAACTTTGAGTGTAAATCATTGTCTAGCTGTGTGGCTGTAGGCAAGTTGCTGAAAACTCAAAGGCTTAACTTTTACCACCCTTAAAACAGGTATAATGATACCTCTATGATAGAATTAAATGTGAAAATGTATATAAACTCCTTGGCAGAGTATCTGATATCTAATAAGGTATCAGTTATTAGCTGCCATTATTTTGTTATTTATTGTTGTTTCCAAATATATGCCAATTAATGGCTCAACCAAGCAATCAACCAATCAACAAGTATTGATTGACGGCCTGTGGTCTGCCTAGAATTGTGTTAGGTAGTTAAGAGCCAGCGAACTGGGAGTCAGAATTACTGCTGAGCTATGCTGATTGGAAGTTTAGAGCCAGACTGTGTTTACTCACTTGAGACAGATGGTCCCCAAAGGAGATACCCATCTGAAAATAGCTCAATAAGTGATATTGAAGCCACATATATTTGTAAACTGAACAGGTGGGCAGTTTTACGTTTGCTGTTTGAGGACAGGGACCAAATTCTTGGTTGTTTTTCCATCCCCAAAACAAGGTACAGAGCCTGACACGAAGTAGGTGATTTATAAGTAAATTGTGGATAAAGAGTATGTGTGTGTATACATATATAAACATGTATGTATGTAGATAAAGAAATATGGATAACCTGGGCCGGCCGAGTGGCTCAGCTGGTTAAGAGCTTGCTTGGGAGTGCCAGCTCTGAGCAGCAGGACTGTGGTTCGGATCCCACATTGAGGACCAGTGACACTCACCCTCTACAGCTAAGATGATGAACAACAGCTCGACCTGGAGGTGGGCTGTTTTAGCATCAGATGTTATTTTTCGATTTTACATGAAAAAGAGAACAAGTATTATGCAACCCACAGAATTTTGACATACGCATTTAAGAGTTTCTTACGAGTTTCTTACTAGTGGAAAAGCTCTTGTGAAATGCTAGAGATAGAATGTTTCTCCCATCTATAGTATCATTAAAATTTGTTATACCTTTTGCTTAAAATTTTAAAGGAAAGTAGTTAATTTCTTCTTTTGTTCTAAAAGGATATTATTAATATTAAACTTTTTTATTCTTCTGGCATTTACCTGGAAACTCATAATGCTGTTTGTTCTATCAGAAATATATTGTTATTGGTTTCACTGGAATCCATGAATCATCAAGAGTTAGTGTATAATTAAATGGTTTCTGCTCAGCAAGTCATTAAAACTTACATAGTTAAGGTTTGAAATGTTCTATCTATACAAACCTATATCTGATTTAATTTTAAAAATAATTTTCATTAACATAGGTATGAGCTTATTAATGATACTGGCCATCTTTCTAGAGCTTTCCAAGTAATTTTGTAGTACAAGTATGGGAAGATTGTTTTTAATTTTGAACATGTTTACATAATAATTTAGACATACCTCATGCCTAAAATGAAGAAAATATTATTTTGTAGACTATTCTGTTTATACTCTATATATTCTCTTGGTCCTTACATTTGAAAAGTATGAATGTTCCATGAAAAAAATATATACAGTATTTTGGGCAGATATATTTATAAGCTGTGTACTCTGAATTTACACGTCATTGAACATTTTTCAAAATCAAGTTTATTTGCCATCCAGTATTTCATCTGGTAAATGTAGCATTCTTTTGTGGTTGATAACATTATTTCCATGTGTTCTATTTTAAAATTATAGATCAAGTAATTTTTATCCTGCATGATCTAGTGCTTTTCAGGTTTGGAGCTCTCGTTTGTATTTGTTACTGTTTCACTTCTAAGCAGAACTAGAGAACATGCTTCTTGCCACTAGATACCCAAACCTGGAGAAAGCCCAGAGGTATCTGCTCTCCTAATTTTATTTACCGTTCTCTTTTAATCTACCGATAATCACGCCATATGTGGAACTTCCTCTGTTATAGGACATGCTGTCCTATGGGTATACATGCCTCGTAGTTATAGTGTGGCAATGTTGGAAGACTGTTCAGTAGTTTCTGATTTTTGCCCCCCTCCACACACACAAAAAAAATATCTGTGGGCTAGCTTTTGTTTTTAACAAGCATTGCATCAAAGTTTACAAGGTTGTACTGGACCGTTGTACAAAGGTGTTACTTTCTAAAACATTTGGCACCAGTGTAATTCTAAAGCGTAAAAGAAATTTAAACAATACCAACTCCCAACACCATCTTTTATAGATGAGGTAATTCTGGCCCAAAGAGTTAATTGATATGCCCAACTGTTCCCAGCTGTCCATTGGTAGAAATTGCGAGTAATGGCAAAAACCTCTATTACTTTTGCATCAACCTAATAGAAATGTTTGCTCGTCTTTTGGAACACTTGCAAACCAAGTTACTCGTAATCCAAGGTTTTACTCTTATTTTAAAGCTATGGCTATGGTGGATAAAAACGCTTAGGAAATAGATTTCTTGTACAAAATGTGGATCTTTGAAAATGATAATGATAATCCTCATTTGCAAGTGTACTTATGTCCATTTTTACAGATGGTAGAAACTGAGGTTGAGAGTATAATATTGTGACTTGTGCAACATTGCATAACTTGTGGTGGAAACAGGATATGAACACAAATTCCTTTTATTTTTCCCCTTTATTTACTGCCAGTAAAATGACTCACATTTGTGTCTTTTCATTGCACTCTAGTGTTGAATGTAAACTTAGGGTTATTACATTCAAGAGATTATGATATACTCTGATTTTTTTAGCCTGACACAAATC